GATTCAAATTTTTTAACAACCGGTTCTGTGGGCATGGCTCAGTTGGTGGGCATGGCTTGGCGGTCAAGTGACCAGGTGGACATAGCTTGTAGGTCATGTTATTGGCTGGGCGTGGCCAATTCAATATCACTCACATCGAGGCACGCATCTCCTCGCCTGGCCTCTCATGACTGGGGATGTTGCAACAGACGTAAGTGTGAAAAATGGTCATAAGTCACTTTTTCAGTGCCATTGTAACTTTGAATGGTCACTCCACACAAGCAAAGTACCAGCCAAGAAGGGGAAAAGAACTCCAGAGAAGTTCCTGAGACAGGAAGTCTAGTCCTGCCAAGAATGTAATAAGGGTTAACAGAGAGTCAGTTTCTGTAAGCAACACCAGAATGTTTCCTTCCTGCTTTCCTTACAGGATTAGGCTAGTAATTTCTTCTAACAACCGGTTCTCCAAACTGCTTAGAATGTTAACAACCAGTTCTAGCGAATAGGTGCGAACTGGTAGAATCCCAACCCTGCCAAGGACCCTTCAGGATAGATATCCTCTGAGTTCAGTATAGAGCCATGATGGTGAACCTATGGCGTGCCGGAAGTGGCATGCAGAGCCATCTCTCCGGGCACGCCAGCCATTGCTCATTGCTTTTCTGGGTTCCAGTGTGCACATGGAGCTGGGGACACCGGAAATTGGAAGAGCGCTGGGGAACTGCTCTTCAAATTCCCCCTCCCCCATGTGTGAGTGCTCCCATTTCACACTTGGTACTGAAGAGGTTTGCCAACACTGGAATACAATATTAAGAAGTGCCAGCTAAAAGGACACAGGAAGCAGACCCAGAAACATTAACTGTTTTATTTTTTTATCTCTAATAATGTAGCTTTCTATGAAGGCTTTGCTCATAACACTGGAAATATTTCGGTCCAAGAGCTTTCCCCAGTTTGAATGACTGTAGCAATTTATAGAGAAACAGAGATAGAAGCAGAGGCAAGGCGGACAGACAAACACAGACAGACACAGATTTTGTATTCCTTGTTTTGATTCAATTGTTTAAAAAAATGCTTCTTTGATAATACTTGTTGTCCCAAGAAGGTATTTCTTGAAATGTAAAAAGACAGAATGTTAAATAAATATTGCCTTTTGATTTTGTCAGATACAGAAAAATGTATCAATTGTCCAGATGATAAATATCCAAATGTGGACCGAGTCCAATGTATCCCCAAAGTTATGTCTTTCCTGTCTTATGAAGAACATCTGGGCATCATCCTTTTGTCTTTTGCCTTACTCTTATTTCTAACCACAGGCCTTGTTTTACTCATATTCATTAAATACCGAGAAACTCCCATTGTCAAAGCCAACAACCGGGACCTCTCTTACATCCTCCTGATTTCCCTCCTGCTTTGCTTCTTGTCTTCTTTTTTCTTCATTGGTCAGCCAAGGAAAGCCACCTGTCTTCTTCAACAAACAGTGTTCAGCATTGTCTTCTCAGTTGCTATTTCTTCTCTTTTGGCCAAAACAATCACTGTAGTGCTGGCTTTCCTAGCCACAAAACCAGGAAACAGAGTGAAGAGATGGTTGGGGAAGAGCTTGGCCAATTCAATCATCCTTTCTTGTACTTCTATCCAACTTATCATCTGTTCCATCTGGCTTGGAGTTTGTCCTCCATTTCCTGACTCTGACCTCCACTCCCAACCTGGAGTAATCATCTTGCAATGCAACGAAGGCTGTGTTGTCATGTTCTACATCACACTCAGCTACCTGGGCTTTTTGGCTGCCATCTGCTTCACAGTGGCTTTCCTGGCCAGGAATTTGCCTGGGGCCTTCAATGAAGCCAAGCTAATCACTTTCAGCATGTTGGTCTTCTGCAGTGTCTGGGTGACTTTTGTGCCCACCTACCTGAGCACCAAAGGGAAATACATGGTGGCTGTTCAGGTCTTCTCCATCTTGGCCTCCAATGCTGGACTGCTGGGCTGCATCTTTGTCCCCAAGTGCTATATTATCATTCTGAGGCCAAACTTGAATACAAAAGAGCAGCTTACAACCAGAAGAATTGTAGAAATGTGAGACAGGGGAATGTCAACTCTCAACATGTCCCAACAGGCTAAACTTAGACAATAATCCAAACTGCTCTCCATACATGAGCTGGGCCAACCATTTTGCTTGAAATAATTAAAGGGAAACTAGAAAATATTTTATCCATCCTTGTTCAGTAGAATTGCAAGATGGCCACTGGGATCTTTGGAGCAATCAAGGCAGTACATCTCTCTTGTGCCCTTAAGCCTACCTAATCCTGAAATTCCACCCCTAGGTTTTTGAAACATGACATTTGTGTATTGGGAATCTTGTGGATAAGCCATTAATAATTTTTTTGAAGCAGTAGGATTCAAGGATTCAGCACCAGCAACTTGAGGAGAGGAGAGAGACACCTCTTAGCCAAATTACAAGTAAAATATTCTGAATTATCCAATAGGTTTACTAAATTATTATGCAGGAACTAAGCAAGAGAGGAATTAAAATACAGTGTCATAAGATTTCTAGAAAATCATTCCTAATGAATGGGATGACTGAGCATCACATGGATGTGGTTTGTGGGAGATTGAACATAAAACCTGGTCCGATGTTGTAATAATTCACATATCTCTACGTTCTAAATGTGGACACTTCAGAGGTTTTTGGGTGATCACTGGGAGAAGAAGATGGATCTTGGTCTAATCCAGAAGACATATTCTTAGCTTCTTAAAATGGAAGTCTGAACGAAATCCTATTCACAAAAAGAAGTCATCCTGAAACCATCCCATTTATTCGGAAATTTGGCAAAAATATGTATGGTGACTATATGTTTCTTCTTGTCCTTATCACTGCTAGCATTCAAGAGGTCCTCAACCTTCCTAGTTCATTTCTTGGACCTGGATAAATGTGCAGCATTTAATGTCCATGCCCCAGTTCATATCTGTGATTAATGTTTGTGACAAGATCCCTTCGTTATCCTCCTTAGGTAGACTCTTCAGGTCATCTTTCTCTGGTCATCTTGTCAAGACTTCTACTGAAAATTGATATTTGGAGTAAGAAAAAGGAAATTTGGTACACTATCTACTAATTATAGTATAGAAGAATAACAGGACTGGATGTAATGAGATTTTGTTCTTCTGAAGATGAGCTGACCTGAAAAAGAATAAAAAGATTAACAATGGATATAGTGTGATCTCCTTTTTTTCAGCACAAAAGAAAAGTAAAATTATTATAAAGATGATGGTTCGTATGAAGCAGCAAGTGATTTCTCTTTTGCAGATAGAAACGTGGGCACAGGAAGCTCATTCTGCTCAGTTGTTGCACCTCTTCCTACTTACCTTTAATGTTTTACAGATAACAGATAATCAGAATTGG